GAACTGGCCAGTGAATTCAATGCAATAATATCAATGTATGAATGACAAGATCACTGAAGGAGTTTTCACTTGTAAATATTTTCTAATGTCGGAGAGATAAGAAAAATGGTTGGCGAATGAATGAATGAATGACTTTAATGAATGGCTCCAAGTGAACACGTACCCTTCCAATGATTGAATATTTATTTCTTGAATGACTGGATATTATTGTGCAAAGTGTTCAAACTGTTAAATGCCATATTTACATGGTTTCTCTACCTGATTGCTTGTTTAGGAATCTCACTGGACTTTTACCTCATTCATTTAGTTTTTGTTTTCTTTACAGGAATGGGGGTCCGAAGCAATTAAGTGTGAACTAAAGTATATAACCCTCTTGTACTTATACTTTTGGTTGCTAGGATGTATTTTGACATTTGATGTTGTCTCATATGTTTGGCTTTTCGGTTGTAAATAAGTTTACATTTTGATTGAATTGTAGAACTTAAATGTTATTTTGAAAACTTGAATGATTAATCTTGACACTTGATTAAGTGAGTGAGTGAGTCCTGGCGAGAGTTGGGCAGGCGGTCCGCCAAACCCTTGGGTACGTCCTAGGGAAAGGTAGGGTCATCACAGGTGGTATCAAAGCCACTTCGCGTGGTTTCTGCGCAGAGTGAGCTTGGGCCAAGTGATGTTATGGTCCCTATTATATGAATGAGTAATGGATTAAGTACTCTTTAGTGCATAGGCTGTGAATCATGAATGTTATAGGCGTAAAACCCTTATCATGATACTTGGAGAAGATAGATATGTATGTCAGGTAGGAATCTCTAATATAAGTGATTTACTCTTGGAACTGGCCGGCTCGAGTTTTGAATTACCCTATTTTGGATTCTTGTACCCGAGTACCAAAGAGTTGATACTTTTATGACAGTTACGAATGAAATTGAGGTAAGTGTGAAAGATGCGATTAGGTCATACTTATATGAATTGTTTCTAGATCGAAAGAGTAGGTTATTACCTTGGATTGGTATTACTAATGATATATTTGAATTTGTACATGCAATTGAAGAGTTTTACACTTTGACTAATTTAAGATGCTTGTGATTGAGATAGTAGAAGTGAACGTAGCCAAGGGAGGTCAAGGGTATGCAGGCCCTAATGAATTTAATCTTGAGCCTAAGGTAGGGCAACCTACAGTCGAGGGAGAAGTAGAATTAGTTGGTTTGATAAAGACCTACGTTAGAGATTCGAGAATGCAAAACGTGGGTGTAGGTAACTGGGATGACAAGCCATTTCTTGTTCTACCACTGTATGTATGCTGCTAGTGACGTGTCAATACTAATATGTATGGTTTCTGCTTTGTTTTACGCACTTGGTTTTGATCAATGAATGAACTTGAAATGTTATACATGTACTAAGTGCATTTCCTTATCTTTGACTGTGTGATTTAAAAATATCTTTCTTTTGCTGCTATAGTCGATTGATTTTGTTTATGTGCTATATAACCTTTTGAAAAAAAAAGAGAGAGAGAGAGAAGGGTATGGAGGGTAGATGAAGTCAAGGACGAGGGGCTAGTCGGGGACGTGGGGCCAACCGTGGACGTGGCGGTAGGCAAGCACAAGAACCAAGAAAAACAAGAGACGCGGAGGCAGAGCAGCAACAGAAACCAAAGGTCGGAACAGGGGACCAAGTAGCAATGACAATACAACAAATGGCTAATATCTTAATGCAATTGGTAGAGCAACAAGGCCGAGCTCCAGTGAATCAGCCTAGGAACCTTGAGATAGGAGAGGACAGGGCCTTAGACCATTTCCAAAAGTTTTCTCTACCAAAATTGTGGCGCTCCCACTTCTCCCTAGAGCGAATCCAGGAGTATTAGCGGAACACTTGCCTAACTCTCGCCAAGACTCGATACGAATCCAATTCAAACTTAAGGATAAACAACCAACAATAAAAGTCGAAGTAAAGAAAAGTCGCTTCCTTAATTAAACATTCAAATCTTACATCACAAGTTACCAAAAGTATATCAACTTTTCCCAAAATGCAACCACCATAAGTCGACCAATCGATTACATCCAAAATACTAATCAAAAGTAATCAAATCGACTTCTCCAAAATTTTTTCATTTCGAGCTCCTGTTAAGGAAAACAAACTAATGGGGTGAGCTAATACTCAGTTAGGCCAAGAAAAAACATGCAAGCATATAATAGAGCAAGTAGAAGATAACATGAACGAGAAAGATTGAGACAATAGTAAAACTAGTAGTTTCAAGTAATTAACATTTTAAGTAGAAACAATTAAGGATACTGGAACTCTCAGGAAATCCATGCAGCTTGACCAAGGTTTTGATCAAAATATCCCACGTTGACTCTCCGTCAACCGAGTAAGTAACAAATCCGTAGACTCCACTTTCACCAAATTCCGTCCACCGTTGCACCCCCTAACCGAGTTCGAACGTCAAAAGTTTTGATATTACTCGAGTATATCGTGGCAATACTACGCGAGTATGCCAAGCAAGATCTCTCAAATAGATCAAGTTTATGATTTTCTCATGGCTCACCAATCTTCTCGACTAAACCCATGCCGGATCGAGTCGCAAGGTTGACCAATGAGTTTGGGCGTCCCCCACGATTATGAGTATAAGTCGATGAGATTCATTCCAATTGACCATATCTGACTCTACAGAAGTCCAAATTGAGAATGGTTTATGGAGTTAGAAACTATGTTCAAAATTCTACATTTCGTCACAAGATATTGTTTAAAAATCTTTTCACAAGTGTAACAAAAGCGAGCCACAAGATGCAGCTTCTCGATTTCTCTCGAACAGACAGCCATAACAGGACAGTCTACTTTGCCGATACACTACGGTTTACTCAAAATGAACTAGCAGGGAATTTTTATACTGTTTGAAAGCTCTGAACGTCTAGTTTTGAATGCCACAAACGGCACTCAATTTTGACTTTTGTACAAAGAGTTATGTTCAAACAAAGAACCACTGGTTGGCCACCTGCTAGCAAATTTCCAGATTTCGAACTTTTCCAAAACTCAAGTTTTATGTAACTAATCAACATGATTTTTGAAAGACACTTTCTACACACATAATATAACATATATCAATCAATTTAGCAGCTATATAATCATCAAAATTTTGAATTTCAAGCAGGACATCAAAACAGAATTTCGGCTAGCTCTGTTCCTCACGGTTTCTTCCACTTCCTCACCACTATCAAACTATAATCAACCTATAAATCACATAAACAACCACAATCAAGTAATATAGCTTCAAGTCAGCTACCTAAAGGTCTCCTCAAGATATCTAGCCTAGGATTTAAAGCAAGATAAATGTTTTCTCAAGTCCGCTAGCCTATGAACGCGATTAGAGTTGCAAACCCATGAAAACTAACCACTAATCCTCTTAGAAATGGAAAGATTAAAGAGATGAAAAGGGTTACCCTTTCACCCTAGATGAAGACCAGATTTTTCCCCCAAAATATCACTAAGCAACACCTCAAGCTTTTACCTTTCTTCTTGCTAGAGTGAAATTCCAAGAGATTAGGAAGTTGGGTGAAGAAAAGCAAGCAAACTTGGAGCAAAAGTTGAAGTTTTCTTTTGTTCCTTTTCTTTCCTCTTGGTCGGCCGAGAATGAGGGAGTGAGAGAGGGTTTTGTGGTTTGATTCTTGGAGAGAAAGAATGAAGAAATGTATTGAGGAATCTAATTTAAAGTTATACCAAAAGTCAACTCTTAATAGTGTCTCAAATAGGATTTCGCACTACCACTTTCTCTTGTTTGGTACACTTATACGCTAATTCTCCAGGGTAATTCCTCTAACACTATAATTACTCATACTTACGAGTCTAGTATTAAATCCTCAAATTTTCAATTAGTCATACCGGTGCGACTTTCGAGAAACTATCAACGCGCGTGCGATAAAAGCTAAATTTTAACTCACTCATATCTAATCTCTCAATTAACTTTTCTTAGCCTATTATTGATCATTCTTAATTTTTTAAGATTATTATACTCTCGAATCGAATATTATCTGAAAAAACGTGTATTCACTATTACTTACTAAACGAGTCGCAAAAAAATTAAATTTACTAACGAGACGTTTTAAAAATATAAATGAGACATTGTTCCATGTAAATAGATTTAAAATGATTGAAATAAATTATTCGGAAGAAACGGGTAAGTAAGTAATTAAATAAACCAGTAAAATAGAATTAAAAGTAAGTAAAAATTCGGGTCCTCACATCCTTCCCTCCTTAAAAGGAATTTCGTTCTCGAAATTCACATCTAGGATAACATCATGTCTCTTAATAGTTAGGCTTATCAAATCGATCAACAACTTACACTCTCCAACCCATATCTCACAATTTCTATCCACCCAATTAGCGATCAAACTTTGATCTCCAGGGCGTTCTAACTTTCAAGTCATAGGGTAACTTAATCAGCCTCACGTCTACCTCACTCATAAATCTAGGGTTTGCAAAACAGTGTGTCGTACCAAGGTCACTTCGAACCTTAGCTAAACAATAGAAAACAAGAATCATACCTTCAACGACCTTAGTGGAATTGGAAACCTGTTGATGGTTTTATGCATAAACCCTAACCGACGCCTTAGGTCGACTTCCTCCAGCACTAAATTGTTTAGATGCTGAATTCTCTGATTTTTGAGTACTACCTCCTCCTTTTGGTACACTTGGACATCTCGAGAGCTGATGCTCGGTACTGCCACAATACAACACTTTTCCGATTTCCTCCAGCACTCATTCTCTGTATGGTTGGCCTTACTACAATAACCACAAATAACTTGAAGAGCTACAGCCTGACCACTTGGAGGTGTCCCTCTCGATTGATCTCGTCCATTGTGACCTCCTCTTGATTGAGTCCCTTTTGATGTGCTAGATATCTCTACTCCTCCCGTTCCTTTTTCCTTTTTGAAAGGTGGGACACCCTTATCCGCTTGTTCAGAAGGGTTACTAGGAGTGTCCCTTTTCTTGGCATGAAAGTCTCTAATTTACAGTCTTGTACTTTCAACTCTCTGAGCTTTCTCTAAGGTTTCAGTGAACGTAGAAATTTGGGTTGCTGCTAATTCCTCTTGAATCTCCACATTAAGTCCTTGTACAATACGCCTTATCCTTCTCCGCTCAATAGCCACCAATTTCGGAGGGTACTTAGAAAGTTTAGTAAATCGCTCCTTATAATCAGCCATGCTAGAAGCCCCCTGTCTCAACTTTATGAATTCATCCTCCCGTTTCTCTTGAATCAAAGGTGGAAGAAACTTTTCATTAAACTCCCTTATAAAGTTTTCCCAAGTCCAAGGGATTTGCACTCTTTTCCATTTTCCCCTTATCACATCCCACCAAGCAAGTGTCGCACTCTCAATTTGAAAGGCAGCAAACGTCACTCGTCTCTCCTCAGTATAATTTAAGGCGGCAAATATATTAGTCATTCTCTCCATCCAGTTTTCTGCTAACTCTGGGTCAGGTCCCTCAATAAACTTAGGCGGGTCAAATTTCAAAAATCTCTCCAAGACTCTATCCTCCCCTCTATCTTGAGCCTCGGGTTGGTTAATAGGTCCGGGACCCTGTCGCTCTGCTAACCTCTCTAAAATATCTGTCATTCGGTTAATGGCAGTAGCCACTTGGTTATTCCCCTCGTTCATTTGCCATTGGCTCGGTCCAGTTGCCAATCCTTGCTCATCTCCTTAAGCTTAGGGTTGTCTAACCCGCACCCTCAGTCCCTACCACTTTTTCGGCCATCCATGATCTCAATTATATCTAAATGTAAGAAATGAAATAATTACGCTAGAAAATACTTAAAGTACAAGCCAATTTGAAAAACATTTGAAATAATGATAACTGACATTTATTAACATTTTAAAGTTCATACATAATCAATAAGTCATGGGACAATTACAAAAATATAGCACACATATGCCATAAAAGTACAATTAGTCATGCTGTAAAAGTCAAGAGCTTTACAAGCATCACCCCAACTAATCCTAGTCACAAAGCTCAAAAGATTCATTAATCCTAACCTAGTTCGCATCCGAACTGTTAGCTTGGACCTCCTCCTCCGAGTTCTCCTTGAAAGGCTCCTCATTAGGAGTGCCCTCACGAGCCGATCTCTCGACGGCGTCCATCACCTCCTCTATCAACATGGTAGTATCAGCTAAAATCACTGCGGCCCTATCCCAGACCTTCTCGACTACCCTAACCAGTCGAGCCCTAATTCTCTGAAACTCGTCACAAGCAGCCTCAACTTTAATTCGCTCATCTATCACTGTCCCCTCGAGTTCTACGATCCTAGCACCCTGGGCATCCACCATAGCGGTCAGTTCCTCAATCTCCTGAATTAAGGCCCGATTAGTAACCACCAACTGCCAGCGCTCATTGTCAATGGACAATACAAGATCATTAGAGTAGGCATGTGTCTCCCTACAAGGATAATGAGGAAAACTAGTGGAATGCGAGTATCGGACACGGGGCCTTCCACCCAATACTCGATACCGGATAGGACTAAGAGGCTCCTCATGACCATTAGCTGCTCCATTACCAGTAGCAGTATGACATCCATTACCGTTCTCCATTCCTATAATACAACCACAAAACTCAAGGTAAGAACTTAAGGTCACTAATTCACTCAAACATCAACTTAAGGTATAACTAAGTTATCTCATTCCTATTGTCAAGAGTAAAACCTCTAAAACATCTTCCAAATAAATCTCTAAATCTAGACTCTTTTCCACCAATGTCATATAAGAAACTCTCAAGTACCCATTCTCTTTAACCACTAGAATACAGTAGGTTCCCTGGTTTACGTAATATTCAAGTTAATCGCACAGTCCGGTATAAACTTCAAGTCTAAGATACACTACAAAGATCTGAAACCTAAACTCTGATACCAACTGTGACGCTCCCACTTCTCCCTAGGGCGAATCCAAGGGTATCAGCGGAACGCCTGCCTAACTCTCGCCAGAACTCGATCCGAATCCAATTCAAATTTAAGTGTAAACAACCAGTAATAAAAGTCGAAGTAAAGAAAAGTCACTTCCTTAATTAAACATTCAAATCTTACATCACAAGTTATCAAAAGTACATCAATTTTTTCCAAAACACAACTACCATAAGTCGACTAATCGATTACATCCAAAATACTAATAAAAAGTAATCAGATTGGCTTCTCCAAAATCTTTCCATTCCGAGCTCCTGTTAAGGACAATAAACTAATGGGGTGAGTTAACGTTCAGTGAGACCAAGAAAAAACATGCAAGCACATAATAGAGCAAATAAAAGATAGCATGAACGAGAAAGATTGAGACAATAGTAAAACTAGCAGTTTCAAATAATTAACATTTCAAGTAGAAAAAGTAGGCAGAAACAATTAAGGATACTATAGCTCTCAGGAGCTAAATCCACGCAGCTTGACCAAGGTTTTGATCAAAATATTCCACGTTGACTTTCCATCAACCGAATAAGTACAAATCCGTAGATTTCACTTTCACCAAATTTCATCCATCGTTGCACCCCTAACCGGGCACGAACGATAAAAATTTTGATATTACTCGAATATATCATGGAAATACTATGCGAGTATGCTCAGCAAGATCTCTCAAATAGATCAAACTTATGATTTTTTCATGACTCACCAAACTTCTCGACCAAATCTATGCCGGCTCGAGTCGTAAGGTCGGCCAATGAGTTTGGGCGTTCCCCACGATTATGAGTATAAGTCGATGAGATTTACCCCAATCGACATTGAATCAACATAAGTATAATTTTCAAGTATGAGCACGTTAACTGTCTAATCAAGTAAAAGAGAACAAGTGCGATAAAGTACACACTCGTCTTGACAAGTATAATTCACATATTTAACAAGAAGTATTTCAAGTATTATGCAACAAATCATGCACTTGACACTTACCAAGTCAAAAGTAAGTGAGCAAATAAAGTCTTTAGTTGTCCACTCCGAGGTTTCCTTCAATATCCTTTTGAGCGTCTGAAGAAATAGTGATCAACCATCACTCACATATACTCACGTCCACTTATCATACAAGGAAGAAGTACACTTGGTTAAAATTTAAGACAATGTCATAGAAGAGTTTTAATCCATCAAAAATCGAGATTTAAAAGTAAGGATTTAAAGTCACAAGGGAAACTTGTATCCTCCATGAAGTCGGGTTTAAAACGAACTATCAATATCGAAAGAAAGTGAAAAGTTCTTAAAAGCTCATTTTCTATGAAATCGGAAATTTTTCGCTTTACGCGATAAAATTTACAAAATTAGATCTTGAGTTTCGTATGTCCAAAAATGTAAAACTTTATACCGTTGGAAACTAGATTAAAATACTAAAATTTCTCAGAAGACACTTTTTCAAGATTTCAACCAGAAAGCATTCAAATTTCAGGTTAAAGTTGCAGTTTCAAGAAGACAAGACAGAACCAATCTTGGTTTTCAGTAATGTTTGGAAATTCGGTAAAATTCACAAAAAGTGAATCAGCCTCTGAAATTTATAACACAATAAGAGTTTCAAACCAAGTTTCAAACATAACAAGCGGAACTAAATTAGAAGTTTTGAGCAACAAGATATAACAATTTGAAGTCGGCTGATTTTTGCAACCTGATTAGTGGATTTCCAGATTGAAGAGCAATATTTGGGGCATTATTTGCGCCTCGAAATGATATTGAAATTATGCCAAATTTGGTACACTTAAACTTCCATATGCGGACTACCTCTCTCTCAAAATTTAGGCAAAAAATCGCACGGGAAGGCAGCTAACGAAACAACCAAAGTTTGTGAAATTCTTCAAAGCTAATCTGCCAACCCTATCTTTCTTTCTTTTCAAAAATTTTGTCCAACAAAATCAGCCCCAATTCGCTCCAATTTTTGAAACCAAGGTTCCAGAACATTTAATGAGCAATTGAAGGGTAAATGACACTAAAATTTTCGAAATAAAACACCCCAAAATATAATTGACCATTCGATCAGCAGGGAAGGGAAAAGTTTCCAGTTATCAGCTTTGACATAGTTTGGAAATCAGACCATATCTGACTCTACACAAGTCCAAATTGAGAATGGTTTATGGCGTTAGAAACTATGTTCAAAATTCTACATTTCATCACAAGATATCGTTTAAAAATCTTTTCACAAGTGTAACAAAAACGAGCCACAAGATGCAGCTTCTCGGTTTCTCTCAGACAGACAGCCATAACAGGACAGTCTACTTTGCTGATATGCTACGGTTTCCTCAAAACGAACTAGCAGGGGATTTTTATACCGTTTGAAAGCTCTAAACGTCTAGTTCTGAATGCCGCAAACCCCACTTAATTTTAACTTTTTTTCAAAGAGTTATGTTCAAACAAAGAACCACTGGTTGGCCATCCTGCTAGCAAATTTCCAAATTTCGAACTTTTCCAAAACTCAGGTTTTATACAACTAATTAACATGATTTTTGAAAGACATTTTCTACACACATAATACAACATATATCAATCAATTTAGCAGCTATATAAGCATCAAAATTTCGAATTTAAAATAGGATATCAAAACAAAATTTCGGCTAGCTCTCTTCCTCACGGTTTCTTCCACTTCGTCACCACTATCAAACCATAATCAAGCTATAAATCACATAAACAACCACAATCAAGCAATGTATCCTCAAGTCAGCTGCCTTAAGGTCTACTCAAGACATCTAGCCTAGGATTTAAAGCAAGATAAATGTTTTCTCAAGTCGCTAGCCTATGAACGCAATTAGGGTTGCAAACTTATGAAAACTAACCACTAATCCTTTTATAAATGGAAAGATTAAAGAGATGAAGAGAATTACTCCTTCACCCTAGATGAAAATCAGATTTTTTCACCAAAATATCACCAAGCAACACCTCACACTTTCACCTTTCTTCTTATTAGAGTGAAATTCCAAGAGATTCGGAAGTTGGATGAAGAAAAGCAAGCAAACTTGGAGCAAAAGTTGAAGTTTTCTTTTGTTCCTTTTCTTTCCTCTTGGTCGGCCGAGAATGAGGGAGTGAGAGAGGGTTTTGTGGTTTGATTCTTGGAGAGAAAGAATGAAGAAATGTGTTGAGGAAGCTAACTTAAAGTTGTACCAAAAGTCAACTCTTAATAGTGTCTCAAATAGGGTTTCGTACCACCACTTTCTCTTGTTTGGTACATTTATTCACTAATTCTTCAGGGTAATTCCTTTAACACTGTAATTACTCATACTTACGAGTCTAGTATTAAATTCTCAAATCTCCAATTAGTCATACCGATGCGACTTTCGAGAAACTATCGACGTGCGTGCCATAAAAGCTAAATTTTAATTCACTCATATCTAATCCCTCAATTAACTTTTCTTAGCCTACTATTGATCATTCTTAATTTTTCAAGATTATTGCACTCTCGGATCGAATATTGTCTTAAAAAATGTGTATTCGCTATTACTTATTAAACGAGTCGCAGAAAAATTAAATTTACTAATGGGACGTTTTAAAAATATAAATGAGACATTGTTCCATGTAAATAGATTTAAAATGATTGAAATAAATTATTCAGAGAAAATGGGTGAATAAGTAATTAAATAAGTCAATAAAATAGAATTAAAAGTAAGTAAAAATTCGAGTGCTCACAGAAATTCTTTGGAGGGTTTGACCCGGAAGTAGCTG